CAAATAATTTGCTAGCATACTGGTGAATCAGAGTGGACCTAAACATGACCCTTGTGGGACACCGAAATTTGGAGGAAATCTGTCAGAAAGGTGACCATCCACGTAAATTCGCTGTTATCTATTGGACAGATAACGATGTAAACCACCCCAAAACAGCACCCTTGATCCCAAAAGTAGTTTCAATCCGCGATAGCAGAATCTGTGAGTCGAAGGCAACGCTTAGGTCGAGAAATACTACCAAAGTAAGTTGTTGCCGATTCATGCATATTCATCAACAGATCATTGTGAACCTTTAATAATGCAGTTTCGGTGCTATGACCTTGACGGTATGCACTCTGAAGTAATGGATACATGTTAAAACGCATCATGTGGTCGTGTGGTCCTTTGATCAAACACAACCTCGTACCCAGGGCTAGCCGTCCTGGGTACGAGGTTGGATCAAACACTGCTCGTTCCACAAATATGATGTGCTCCCCCCCCGCTCGCGACCAATTTTGGGAAAAGAAATATTAATTAGTGGCTGTAGTGACTCGGCAAAATTGCCTTCATAACTCGGCAAGCTTTAATTACTTATCCCCCCCCCCCCCCTCATCAAAAAGGTCTAGATCATCCCCTGCAAAAACATGGTCTTGGCTGTCGCCAGAATGACGCCACAGTTGGCTCAATTTTGAACAAGCTACGACTTTCACACACCCTGGTTTTTGCCACTACTTGTAATGCCCGTTCGCGGGTTAGGGTTGGGTTAATACAGACAAGGGAGCAATGGCGTGCAGGGTACTATTTTTCTGAGGGGGCCAGTGAGCTATCAACCATATGCGCCCCCTATAATGTGACGCTTGATAAACGAGGGCGGAAGGCACGATCCGAGCGCCGCAGGTGCGAGGTCTTCCTAGGGGGGTCCGGGGGCATGCCCCGGAAAAGTTTTAAATTTAGAGTCTCTGAAATGCCATTTCCTGGACTTTGGGGGAAGATTTGACAGAAATCTGATGGTCAGGAAACGAGATTATAACGTGTCGAAATTTGCAATTTGGTTAGAATTTTGTGGTAGTACTTAAATTAGTACGGTATCAGTTTTACTATAAATCTTTATTTTAGATTAATTATGGAGGAATAAAGTCACTCGTTGAGTATATTTGTATAAAATATTTTGATTTATATTAAACGCTGATCTCACTAATAACTTGTAATATGTTACTAAAAAGTGTGCTTGCACTTCATTGATACGAATCTGTCATGTTTTTTGTCAAAACATACAAAAAGAGTTAATACTATACAGTATATCACTTGATAATTAGTACTATATATCACGTGTTGTATCGAATGTTGATTACGTCAAATATTGCCCATATCGATCGATCGATGTTCTCCAATGTCTTTAATGTGTTACGAAAGTATATCTAAATAGTATAAAAATAGTTCAGTTTGCATCGCAGGTAATTATAGATACTAGTTACGTCAAATGGAGAGATAATGAGCATTTTTGCTGTAAAACGCAGATAAAGTATATATCATTTCGGACTTGTGTAAAAGTGTCAATTATCTGTCCATTAGGCAAGATAAATGATTTGTCAAACTGTCAAAGTTGGAGGATAGCCTTGCATGGTGGGCTGTTGTGTTTACATAATTCAAAGTCCAAGGCTGCTTCTTCTCTGACATGAAAATGTGCATGCTTAGGGCCTTTATGTCAATCATTCTTCGGTATATTTCGCGCGGTTGAGTAATGATAACATTACGTCATCAAAATCTTGGTTCAATAAAATTGTAAGTACATTTAGGTTAGTAGGTAAAGTAAGGTTCACATAGGTATAGGTTGAAGTTTTTACTATGATATTTTGATAAATATTTTAAGTTGTGAACATATTTTAACATTGATCGATTGAACAGCGAACCAACTCGACCAGTGCGACGCCTTAAATAAACAGAATGTGAGGGCTGGAACACTGTTAATTTCAGGGTGTTAAAATAACACCTCGGGTGGTGTTAGATTAACACTAACTGGTGGTGTTAAACAAAAGTGTTATTTTAGCACCCTTTTTCGGTGCTAATTTAACACGACATAAATAAAAATATTTTGCAAAGTGTTAATTTAACACTCAAATTGTTTAACACCACTTTAGAGGTGTTAAAATAACACCCACTTAAGGACAGGTGGTGTTAAAATAACACCGGTTTCTGGTACTAAATTCGTGGTGTTAAAATAACACCATAAGTGGTGTTAAGAATTTGTATTCCCCAGTGTTAAATTAGCACTGTTTGTGGAGTGAGAACATGGGTGTTAAAATAACACCTTTTTGGTGGTGTTAAATTAGCACGCAGCACGAGTGTTAAAATAGCACCTTTTGGTGGTGTTAAATTAGCACAGAGCACGGGTGTTAAAATAGCACCTTTTTGGTGGTGTTAAAACTGTTTGTGCAGTTAGAATAACCACAGTTAGGAATAACATATATTCTCAAACTAAACACTTTTACAGTATAACACGGTATATAAACACACGTTTTGAGCCTGGTCTACCGTCACAGGCTAGGGCTGGCCGATGTATACAGGTATATCGCCAAATTAATTGGCAAATATTTATCCGAATGTTATCTACTGGTAGCATGAAACAGCCGCATATTAATTTACTGGTAAATTATAAACCATTTCACAAATGAAACATTTTGAATTCAGGAAACTGGCAAAATTGGACCTCAAAATATCGCATTTCAAATATTATAAGTCTTACTATAAGCATTTGGAAACTGGCAAAATTGGACCTCAAAATATCGCATTTCAAATATTATAAGTCTTACAACACGCTATAATTTGCAGCAGCAATAACACAATATGGAGATAACACACAATGAAGCCGAAATATTTGAATATTCGCGCGCCGCATGATCGAGTAGTAGTAGTAGTAGAACTTTATTTATCCACGCTGACCCCGTCAACCGTAGCTGATTTCCACGGGGGGCGTGTGCCAGAAAATTATTTTACATGCAGAATATGATAAGGATAAGCTAAGCTATTACAGTAATATATAAATTTAAAAGATATAACAAATGGTTTGAGCTATTTACAGGTAAGTTATATTTACAAAGGTTACCAAGCACTAATGTGAGCAGCGATTTTATTTCGAAAGGAAGAAAGTGACTTGCTTTCCCTAATTTCTTTTGGTATAGAATTCCAAATGTTTGCTCCGTCGTACATAAAACTATTTATCATGCTATTTGTACGTGGTTTTGGTAAATAAAGACCACTTGAGACATCCCGAAGGTGGTAATTAGTTTTCTCACTCTTAAACGAAAATAGATTTGTGAGTGATTTTTGGCCCATTTTGTTTAATAACTTATACATCATTCTTGCTTTAGTTTTCTTCCTTTCAGTTTGGAGTGGCTCCCAGCCCAAAGTACGTAACGCAATCGTATAATCTACGTCATTGCTTATATTCAGAATAATTCTTGCCGCTCTATTTTGCAGTTTTTGCAGTCGTTTTGATTGAGTTTCACCAAATACATCCCATACTTCACAGCAGTAGTCAAAGTACGGACGAACAATAGTGTTATATATCAAAATAAGTGTATCTTGATCAACAAATGGTTTGACCCGACGAATAGCAGAGATTCCTGCTGTAACTGTTTTGCAAATATTTTCGGTATTACTTTTCCAAGATAAATGCTGGTCAATTGTTACTCCTAGAGTTTTGCATTCATGAACTTGTTTAATTTGTATATTTTCAATGTAAACATTTGGGCAAGAATCAGAAATATTTTTGATCATAGGTTTAGAGCCAATCAACATAAACTCTGTCTTAGCTACTTTGAGGCTAAATTTGTTGGCTATTAACCATTTTCTAAGGTTCTCTAAATCAGAATTTACTGCAGTCTCTAGGTCAGTCATAGAATTTGCTGAAGCAGTCAAATTTGTGTCATCAGCAAACAACCGCGGTTTTGTTTTGTTTAGACAATGTGGCAAATCATTGATGTACAACAAAAAGAATAATGGCCCTAATATAGAGCCTTGTGGTACACCACATTTAATCAAGCGCTCAGATGAAAATGAGTTTTTTATTTGGCACTTCTGGTTTCTGTTTGTGAGATAGGATTTGAGCAAAGTTAGAGCTTGTCCTTTTATTCCATAGAGCTCTAATTTGTTCAGCAGAATTTGATGATCAACAGTATCAAAGGCTTTCTTCAAATCAATTAAAACTACTAGGTTAAACATTTTTCTGTCTAGATTTACATACCAATCATTAGTACAGTCTAGTAGTGCACTAGCTGTAGAGTGAAATTTTCGAAATCCAAATTGGGAATCACTGAGAAGCTCAAATTTTGTTAAATAGTTATACAGTTGATCATACAATATCCGTTCCATAATTTTACTAATGGCCGGTAAAACTGATATTGGTCTGTAGTTTCCAGGAATACTACGCTGGCCATTTTTATATAGAGGCATCACTCTAGCAACCTTCCATTCATCAGGAAAAGAAGATAAAGTAATAGCCTGATTGAAAATAAGTGTCAGTGAATCTGAGATAACAGGTGCAGCTAATTTAATAATTTTGGAAGAGATTTTATCGATGCCAGTGGCTTTATTGTTGGAAAGTCCATGCAAAAGATGAGA